GCAGCAACACCGGTAGCTGCGAGAAAGCAGCTCGGTGCAGCGCTGGCAGCCACACCGATAGCTGCCGCAGAGCAGCTCGGTACTGCGCTCGGAGCCACACCGATAGCTGCCGGAAAGCAGCCCGGGCGCCGCGAACCGGCTCAGGCTGGTGAGCAGGCTGCACCCGCCGGGCACCGCTGGGTGGCACGCTGGCGACGTTATCAGCGCCACCCGGAGCGCGTCGGTGGGCCCGGGGGCACCGGCGTCCCGACGGTTCGGCGGCACAGCAACGCCATTACGGAGCCTGCCCTGCGGTTAGGTTCCGCGGTGACATGAGGTGATGCCGCTTGCCTGTCATCCGCGCAACCACTTACTGGTGGAGCTGTCTGACTTACAGTTGTCTTTAATAGGTCGCTCAGAGCAAGTGGTGGAATGTCCTCCATTGGTGCATTCGGTGGCTATCCGGCTCTAGCCCCAGGGAGGTAGCTGGCTGTCCTCCAAATTATCGTTCGGTGAGTCTGCTTGGACGCCCAGTATCTCCTTTACACCATTAGTTTGTGCTCTTTAAGTCGAGACTGTTGTTTGCTCATTTGACTCCCAGTCTGTCTAACCATTCTCGAGATCAGAAGATGCGTTTTCATCAGCTGATTTGCCCCTATGACCTGATTTACACCGCAGCGCCGGCATATTTCCTGTTTGAAGGAAAGAAGACTGGAGAGGTGTCACCTCAAGTGGGAGTTGGTTTGATCTTCTTGTAGTTGGTGGGATGTAGGATTTTAGGTATGTTGAGGTTCTGTTCGGTGATAATGGCAGTGTCATCGCATTGTGTAGTGGGCGTCCTGTTGCAAGTGCTCGTGTGTCAAGTAAAAGTGCAGTGACGTAGTTGGTAGTTGATGTTGGCTGTGTATGAGGGTGTGGAACAGCGTCAGTTTGTGCATGTTTCTTCGTGATTTGAGAGTGTTTCGTCCCAACTCATCAAACAGTGCGCGAGTGTGTATTTTGTAGAGTGCACTGGTGAGAAGTCTTGCTGCTCTGTGCTGTAATCTGACAAGTCTACGGGAGTCGCTGGTCGTCAAAAGTCCGTCGTATACTACATCACAATAATCAAACAAAGGCAGAATGTAAGTCGAACATATGTCTTTGAGAATATGCCGAGACAGAAGTCGTGATAGTGGGTAGAGAGGTCAGGGCGCTCTTCCGATTTTAGAGATGGTGTCATTAACGTGCTGATGAAAGTGCAAGTCAGTAGATAACGTCAGGCCAAGGTATTTGTAGCTTGCAACGGAAGGGACTCGTTGGCCGTCAAAGGCCAGCTGAGGTGGGTTATGTGTATTTCTGTTGGCAAATGTTTGTTGAATTGTTTTCGTGGCGTGAAACGTGATGAGCCAGTCTTTGCCGAACTCTTGTATGCTATGAAGATCATGTTGGAGTGCCGCTTGTAAGGTAACTGGGTCGTGTGAGTGAGCTGTGTATAGCGTGGTATCGTCAGCAAAGAACAATATGCCGTAAGTTTTGTCGGGATAGGTCGTTAAGATATATGAGCACAAGGAGAGGCCCCAGAACTGACCACTTAGGGCACCCGGAATGTATGGTCCTAGGGGTGCTTAAACTTGCTTTTTTGTTGTTGCCTGTTATCTTTTTAAAATTTGACCGCCTTGAGATCTCAGCAACTAAGAGGGCTGGAGGCACGAAATTCACAGGGTGTATTGGCCTGTATGTGAACTCACTTGGGTTAAAGTTTAAGCCTCCTAGATTATGAATTTCGAGTCAAATAAAGTCACACAAGGTCAAACCCAAGTTGGTCTTCAAAGAGTTCCCAGAACCTAGATGCTTGTTCTAAGCAAAAGGTCACATGCTCATTCAAGGTCATTGACCGTATTTGACCTTTTGAAGGCGATGGTGACCAAAATCATAGAATATTGCATTGTGTTTTACATTTGAATGCACGACAAGGGTTAACACGTGCCCGGATGGCCGGCAAGATACCCTTCGCTCGAGTTGGGGTCAATTAGACTCCCCTGAGATCTCGGGAACTAAGAAAGCTATAAACACCAATTTTACAGGGTGTCTTAACATGCACATGAACTCACTTGGGTGAAAGTTTGAGCTTCCTATGTTATGACCTTCAGATCAAGTAAGGTAAAACAAGGTCAAACTCCAGGTTGGTCTTTAAAGTGCCCCCAAAACCTAGGCAACTGTTTCTAAGAAAAAGCTTACAAGCCCATTTGAGGTCAGTGACCTTTTTGACCCTTTCAAGGTGATGGTGACCAAAATCATAAAAGTCTGCTCTGAGTTTTACATTTGAATAAGTGACAAAGATTACACTAGGCAGTATGTTCCTAAAACAAAATGTCGACCCGGGTCATCTCGGGTCAATGACCTGTTCTGACCTCCAAGAAGTCAGTGGAAGATATAAAGTGCGGTTCTTGCTGTCAGTAAATTAGAAATGAGCACCACAAACTATCCCATACAGCAAGCCCTGGAGTAATAAATCAGGTTGGTTTTGACCTTAGCCTGACCTTTATACCCGACTTTTGGTCAGCGTAATTTGCTCATTCAATATTTGCGGTGCCTAAGAAAGCATCTCAGACATGTATGGCTTCGTCAAACACTCCGCTTTTGTATCAGATTTGACGATTACCGAGAAATTGACTTCGCTGAAACCATGGCCTGACTTTCACCTGCCATAGGTCAGCGGGCTTACAAAGTACGTCTAATTTCTTATGTTAAACGATCCGCTATTCAACTGTCTACAGCTATGCAAAATTTGGCTACGCCGCGTCGTTCGGAAACCATTCCGGAAAACTCTCGCAAGGGTCAATTTGACCCCCACCCGGGCGCACGCCAAGCCCGCAGGCCCACAATGTGCGAGCTAAAATAACCCAAAGTGGCACATCTAGCCCGCAACAGCTGGATACAGTCGTTGACAGGTTCTGACGTTGCCATGACGATGGCGGTCGCGACAACTGAAGTTATCGCGGACTCGGGATACACTCTGGGGTTACCGAGAAAGGAAGAAGTGTAGTGTTGTTGACACACGATTTGAACTCGAGAACATTAAATATATATTACTTTATTGCACTTTGACGGTGTTGCGGTGGCACTACCCAATGCTCTTCTTAGACGCAACTGGTCCTGAGATTTCACCAGGGTACGTTTTTAACATATGCCTCTAAGATGGAATACATCCTTAAGGCAGCGTGTTTGGCCAATATAGTGACAGAGTGGTGCTACACTGAAAGCCGTCAGCATCCTTCGCATGGTGTAGTGCAAGTGTAGCGCTGGATAGCGATAGTTACAGAAATACTAATTTTACGGGCTGACGCTCCGTGGCTTTGTACAGCACCGTCACACACGATCACGCTGGTATGATCAAACATAATATTCCGCTTTGCTTTCATACGCCCGCTGGTATGTATCACCCTTTACGGCTAACGCAAGCAGATTGTCCAGCTAACCGATCACAGCGGCTGCGACGCACGGCTGAGCCACACGAGGCGATACATTACATCAGTTAGTGAGCATATATATGTTCGGATACCGTATGCCTGGCGAAAGACGAAAGTATGCCCCAGTTCAAAATATAGTCTAGCACTGAGCCACACAGCGCCGGCACATCTTGGATTGAACTTGGATTTAGGTCAAACTCGGTAGATACGCTAAACCAGGCCTGATCAGGCGGCATGTTGACCCCTGACCTCGCAGAGGTCAAGCAAGCTCAGTGACCTCGCATGGCTTTATGAAGCACAGTGTGACGACAGTTTGGATCTGGCGGTGCAAATGCGCCAAAAATAATGAACTGTAGCAAGCTAGCGTCGGACACGACGAGATAGCCTCGGATGATGTTGAGCCACCTGAGTGCAGCTAACAACAGGGATAAGGTCCGACATATCACAGCACATAAGCGGAAAATCATTAGTTGCAGGGGTGAAAAGAGTTCCCGACATCACAGTAATTCAAGCGAGTCAAGTCCGAAGGGTGCGGAGTCAAGTGCGGTCGGTGATTTTGGACAAACTTTTGATCAAAAGTCGTAGTTTGCTCAGCCTGGCGCAGAATCTGATTTCAACCATCATTTCTGGCTCAACTGAACCGAATTACAGGAGCTTTGCACAAAGGATTCACTAAAACAAATCTCTGGTATTCGCCATATAAACATTATCACTTTGACCCACTCTGGGGAGCTGAAAGGTGATCTGATCCTTTTTGATCAGTCATTGATGCGCAAGACAAAAAGTAAGGGTATGACATGTATTGTGGCGTTGCTATGCATCAATTCAGTGCAGTTGCCAGGAAATATCGATGTTTTATCATTTGATCGGTCTGTAGGTCATTTCCTTCACCTGGAAAGTGATCCATTCATCGAAAACCAAAAATCGGATACTGATGAAGATTTAAGACGACATGCAACACGGTGGCCTACACCGAATTATGATACTGTCCTTATTTCATTTTCTTAACGGCAGGGAGGCAACGGCACGCTCCATTCTCGAACAGGGAGGCAGTCCGGCAGGCTCTAGGCTATGCACTTTTTTGTGGAATGGTATGCTGGCACAAATTTTATTTTGGTTGTGTTTTTTGCGCTGAGCTGGTGGTGAATACTTTTAAATTTCAAGCCGTGTTCGCCATAGGAAATGCAAATGCCAGTAATAAAACGAAGACGATGTCTTCGATTCTCTGTAATGTTCAAAGGATTCGTACATTAATAGCATAATTTCGGCTCGAACAGGAGTAAGCACCAGTTTTCCAAGAATACAGCTTATATCTAGTGCACATCCCAGTAACTTGCTGCTCTTTCACGAAGCATGCAATGTGCAATTTTTTTATCTTAAAGTTAAAATACCATAACAGAAGACTGCATGCTTGTACATAAAGAGGTAGACAATCGTCCACCAGCCGGCGAACCCGAGATGTTCTGATGGCCGACCAGGGCGGTGTCAATGCCACTGGGTCAGTGCCGGGAGGGCCACCTATAAAAGCTGCACCGGCCGGCACGCTGGCATCAGTTCACCTCCCAACTACCACAAACCCAACATGTGTTCCAAGGTAAGGGCATTGAGCGCATAACATAACAACTATTGTTATTCAGTTTCAGTCGCCATGTTTATCTCACAGGCACACACAAACAGGCAACTCTGGATCCTCCACAATACTGAAAGCCACGTATCCCAAATTTGTTCCGGTAGGTACCACACGTTTCAGGATAAGCAGCATCCATTATGTTGATCGAGGCATATATATATATATATATATATATATATATATATATATATATATATATATCCCGGTAAGCGATGAAAAAGCGGGAAGCAGATATGCGCAGCGTCAAAATTATTAAGCAAACATCATTAAGTTAGAGTTAAGCTTAAAATTAAGCGATCCAATCCTTGGTGTTCAAACACTGACAGCAAGATACAACAGATTAACGGCCGCTTGCCGCCATCAGCTAGAAAATCAAAACTACGCAATTGCCATCACCGAAAAAGATTCGATTCCGCTATCAACACCTAAGTCTTAAGCATATACTTTCTTATTACATACTAAAGCCGTGTTACCACCTTTCATCGCGCTAACATCCAGGCATACTTGTTTTCGCTCAACCCGTGATCAGTGCTTATGCATAATCTATTCATATATCCTAGCATGTCTTACGGCGCTGGCAGGTTCCCGTGGCATTCCTGCTGCTGGGTGTGGCCGTGGTCTTCTCGGCCCCGCCTCCTCCGTACCACGCTACCGAGGCACCGGTCCAGTATGAGTACCAGTACGCCGTCTCAGACGAATACGCTGGGCTCGATTACGGCCAGACGGAGAGCCGAAACGGCTACGAGACGACCGGCTCGTACCACGTGCTGCTACCCGACGGCCGCGTGCAGCGGGTACAGTACAGCGTGGTCGGCGATCAGGGGTACGACGCCGATGTCACCTACGAGGGTGAAGCCAAGGAGTACCAGCCCACTCCCAAGTACGAGAAGCCGGCGCCCTCTTACCACCACGCGCCCGTGTACCACCCCAGGCCGTCGTACCACGCCGCTCCCGTGTACCACCAAGTGCCTGCGTACGGTGCTCGGCATTATGGCGGCGCCCGGGCCCGCACGTACAACCTGCAGAAGGCGACCGAAGCGCCCCTGGCGGAAGCCGAGGAAGCTGCAGTTGAGGAGCCGGCCGCCGTTGAGGAGGCGGAGGAGGTAGCGGAGGAGGTGGAGGAGGAGGTCGCTGAGGTCGAGGAGGCCGAACCAGAGGTGGAATCTGTCGCCGAGGGTGGCGAGAAGGCTTATCAACAGGACGCCAAATAGAGCATCCCATAGTGGAGTGTTCGTCCGAGACGGCGTCATGTCAACTGTTTTTATTTTGTGCGAAATATAAAAAATGGAATATGATATTGACTGTCCAATGCATAAGAACTTTGCTTCCAAATGACACAATTAAGTAGTTGCATATGCTCAGGTAAGTACTCTCAGGCCCGATTACGTGAGCAAGGTGACGAGTGGCGTTTATTTTTTAACAAAATTTGTACACAATTGTTGAGATTATCTATATTTTAAGCACGAATGGGAGTCTACCAAGGCGGGAGGTAGATGTTATGTACGGTCAGTGATCATGTAGCTGCGGTAACAAAAAGCAATCTACAGAACCGCACAACATTGGTGAAGGTACTTTGGTAACATGGTTTGAAGAAAGAGATTTGATACATTCTACGTTCAATGTGGTGAAGGTACTCTGGTAGCATGGTTTCATGGAAGAGATTTAATACGTCCTATGCTCAATTTGTCTGGCTTAAATGGTCCTAATTCAGTAAAGGTCTCTGACGTTTCACGTCAGGTGTGCACGACTACAGTGCTATCTTCATGACAAGCTTCTTGAGTGAGAAACGGAGCCGCCTGCAAGTTACGCTTCATAAATGTTATGGCCGCTTATACACTCTTCCGAGGCATCAGACACCACGTTAATGGCTTTCATATTGCATTAGCGCGGCAAACATCAAAGGCAAATCGCGAAAAAGCTTACAAAACCTCAACAAATCGACGTCGCAGCGAAATTGGGTAAACACGTTCTTACGAAGGAGAGAACATACAGTCGCGATGACAAAACCTGTGTGTATAGGCGCTCATCTTCGCGCCAAACGCAGCCATAGACCCAATTGCTCTAAGCCTATGATAAAAAAATAATGAACCCATCTACAACTCACCTTGCGTTCTCATTAAACATCAACGATGTACATTTGATTAGTGCGCTGAATCAGCCTAGAAGCGACCAAACATCTGTTCGGGCACGCTATAGTCAAACCTGAGAGACACCAATCTAACACAACCCAGCTTACTGCGACCAATGCATATGCAAATCATCTGCACTTTTCCCAGCAGTTTGGTCGCCGCAGATGGTTCTACGTCATATCAGAACAAGTTCTTGGATTAGCATAGAATCAAAGATGCAGTCATTCCTGATCAATTTCTAAGAAATGAGGTCTATGAATAAACACAAAATAAACAAGAACAGGCCTCAAAGTACACCTACCTAATCAGAGTAATTTTGTTGGCATTATAAATAAGTCGGCTTTATTGGCTTAGGGCTTGGTATGAGCTGTACGATAATAGTCACGAAATTTACCTCCGACGAAGGCTCGCCTGGGTAATGGCGTGCAAGGATTTTTCCTGGCCGTATTGGTATAACTCATGCGTTTTGGTTCATACACCGAACAAGCCTCTGTAATTAAAACATTGCATTACTAATATAATTATACAAATAACCCATAACAAATCCAGAGTACATGACTATGTTAAGGCCCCATTGATTCCATTTTGTGGAAATGCGGTATGCCAAACCATAATTACGTTTCGGCAACCAGCATTCCATGCTTCAGTTAATTTGGATGCCATTGCAAGACCGCAAGGCTAAGACTTGCCAGGTTGACTTAGCCAAGCGAATTGGAAGCGTAAATAGTTTGACCTGACCAAAAAATAATACATTTTATCTTTGCCTTGTCATTATTATGCACACAACTTTGAAACCAGCTTTCAGGAATGAGCTCCAGTTAAATCAGTAGTGAATGGAGAACTGGCAAAACAAATATTTCAGGTTAAACTACAACCACAACCGCAAACAGAAATGTGCATCTCGTATTATGTCTTTGAACCGCCTCGATGTGCAGTTCTTTCGATGAACCAGCGGTGAAAAAAAACAGTCGATGCCAAACTGAAACACTACACAACGACCTTTCAGGTAACAGGGCTTAAAATCGGGTTTCATAGCAGGACCGGACTTTTCTTCAGTGACCTTAGATGTGCTTGCCTCATGGCAGGACCGGAATTTTTATTCAATAGCTTTAGGAGTAGCTTGCTTAAGATTAGGGTGCTTAATCCTTAAACATATACATATGCATATATATATATATATATATATATATATATATATATATATATATACATGCACATCTATATATGTGTGTGTATGTTATCCTGAAATGTAGAGTTAACCTCATCACGCCAGGCTCAAGGAGAGAAATGAGGGCAGTATTCGTAGCCTCATCCGCAGCGAAACGAGATGTTCTGATGGCCGACCAGGGCGGTGTCAATGCCTACTGGGTCAGTGCCGAGAGGGCCACCTATAAAAGCTGCACCGGCCGGCACTCTGGCATCAGTTCAGCTCCAGAGTACCACAAAGCCAACATGTGTTCCAAGGTGAGTGAAATGCACATATAAAACAACTGCGTTTGAAATTCAGTGTCAGACATCTCGTCTGGTTTGGGATATTGACTTTCACTCACGGAAGTTGCGCGACAAAGTATTCCCATTTGTGTTATGGCATGCACATACTCCTGTAATATGCAAATCAGATATTTACCATGCTTGTGTGAATATTCTATACACTTAAGTACATTTGTTTCAACTTTCCGTAATCATCTGTTATGCACTATCTTCTAATGTTTCCTGGCATATCTTACCGCGCTGGCAGGTTCCCGTTGCGTTCCTGCTGCTGGGTGTGGCCGTGGTCTTCTCGGCCCCGCCTCCTCCGTACCACGCTACCGAGGCACCGGTCCAGTATGAGTACCAGTACGCCGTCTCAGACGAATACGCTGGGCTCGACTACGGCCAGACGGAGAGCCGAAACGGCTACGAGACGACCGGCTCGTACCACGTGCTGCTACCCGACGGCCGCGTGCAGCGGGTACAGTACAGCGTGGTCGGCGATCAGGGGTACGACGCCGATGTCACCTACGAGGGTGAAGCCAAAGAGTACCAGCCCGCTCCCAAGTACGCGAAGCCGGCGCCCTCTTACCACCACGCGCCCGAGTACCACCCCAGGCCGTCGTACCACGCCGCTCCCGTGTACCACCAAGCGCCCGTCTACGGTGCTCGGCATTATGGCGGCGCCCGGGCCCGCACGTACAACCTGCAGAAGGCGACCGAGGCGCCCCTGGCGGAAGCCGAGGAAGCTGCAGCTGACGAGCCGGCCGCCGTTGAGGAGGCGGAGGAGGTAGCGGAGGAGGTGGAGGAGGAGGTCGCTGAGGTCGAGGAGGCCGAACCCGAGGCGGAGGCCGCCGCCGAGGGTGGTGAGGAGGCTTATCAACAGAACGCCGAATAGAGCATCCCGTAGTGAAGTGTTCGTCCGAGACGGTGGCATGTCAACTGTTTTTATTTATTGAGAAATATAAGAAATGAAACATGATATTGACTGTCTAATGCATTAAAACATTTCTTCCACATGACACAATTAAGTAGTTGCGTATGCTCAGACCATTATCCTTATGAACCGATTACGTGAGCAAGGTGACGGGTGGCGTTTATTTTTTGCAAAACTTGTACATAACTGTTGGAATGATCTATATTTTAAGCACGAGTTGTAGGCTGCCGAGGCGGGAGGTAGATGTTCCCTACTGGCAGCCATTATGTAGCTGCGATAAAAAGAAACAATCTGCAGCAACACACAAAATGGCTTAAGGGACTTTGGTAACATGGTTTGAAGGAGGACATTTCATACGCTCTACGTTTAATGTGACCTTTTTCGAAGTCAAATTAGGTCAGTAACCATCGAGAGCCTGGCTGTACATAACATTGTCCTTAGATCACAATTTTGTTGCTTTCAATCTGTTTACGGACCCCATCATGCGTTCGTTTGGCGATTGAGGTGTTGATCTCATCTAACGAAAGTCGCCTTTTCTGTTCGGTGTTCCATGCTCTAAGTGTGAACTGACCTAATGGGCGAGGGCCTCATCCTTAAATTGGACCGCGTCGGTTCACTTAGACACAAAGCTGTCAAAGTCTGTGTTTGAACTGTGGTAAGCATGTCGAAGTGCATCAAGAAAAAGTGCAACAAATGTATGATTTTTTGGAACTCAGTCATACCATTTCAAGAAGCTGTATTGAATCAACCTTTGTTGCGGATCTAAATGTCCTCGGCACGGCCACACAAACTCTTAAAGCCGGATGAGCATTAACTGTTTGCATATTTTTGTGACCTCTTTCCAAAACTTGAGGACAGTACGGAAAGGCCGAGGTTGGATAATAAGTTGACGCCATCTCCCTTGACGCCGTTCGCTAGTTGACTAATGGTTTTATTCCAAAATCTCACAATCTCCAATCTAATTTTGTCTCTCGAAAGGCAGTTATGTTTCAAACATTGGGCGACGTCTCCTGTCACTTAAACGCAATATTGACAACATCAAAGGCATATACAGCCTGACAGCCTAAAAATCAGCATTAGCATTGCATTATGGTAGCAAGAGAAATCCCTGCAGCAGTGTTTTTAACCAGTGGCGCACCCGCCACGAAAAACTAAAGCTGCGGTGGGCAGTCGGTGAAATGCACCCCTGGCGCTAGCCAAACGTAGGCCATTGTTACATATCCCAGCAAGCTTGAATCAGCGTTTGCTGCAGACCTAAGCTTTTTCGGCACTAACCATTTGCATATTATCTGTGACCTCTTTCGAAATTTGAGGAGCTCACAGAAAAGCCAAGGTTGTGTAATTAGTTGACGCCGTCCCCCCCCCCTTCCCTTGCACACCGCCCATCGTTAACAACGCTTGCAATCAAACGGCTGATAACTCTGCAATATTGTTTGTAATGGATGTTCACCAGGTGACCATGTTTTATTCCAACAATCGCCCAATCTCCAATCTAATTTTGTCTCCAGAAAGGCGGCGATCCTTCAAATATTGGGCGGCTTGTCCTGTCGTTTAAACGTAATATTGGCAACATGAAAGGCATATGCAGCTTGACAGCCTAACAATCCGCATTTACTGTGGGTTATGGTAGCAAGAGAAATCGCTGCAGCAGTGCTTTTAGCCGGTGGCACACCCACCACGACGAAAAACTAAAGCTGCTGTGGCAGTCGGCGCAATACACTCTTAACGCTAGTAGAACGCATATCATAGCAACATATCCCAGAAAGCTCTATTCTATGAGAAAGGCACCAAAATCGAAAAAACTAGGAAAGATGCAAACGAAATCTTGACATTGGTGTACTTAGTTGCGTTATCTATCAGACCAGATACTTCATCCTTCCCTGTCCGATTTCTGCTGGAAGGCCTCCTGTCAGAAAAGTGGCTTCTTGTTGCTATCGCCTACCTAGCCAGGCCTGCCCTTCATTTCTTCCGGACGCGCATATATTTGCAACCATTGACTACAACTTCATTCAGTTTTCAGCGATGAGAAACGGAGCTGCCTACAAGTTACGCTTCACAAATTTTACGGCTCCTTATGCGCTCTTCTCGGGGCAACAGACACCAGGTTCATGGCCTCCATATTGCATTAGTGAAGCAAACATTAAAAGAGATTTGCAAAAAGCTGACATCATCAGATTGAGACTTCAACAAATCGTCGTCGCAACGAAAGTGCGTCAATATTTTCTCACGTAAAGAGAGCATCCAGTCGCAATGGCAAAATCTGACCATGTAGGCGGTCATCTTCGCGCCAAAAGCAGCCATGGACCCACCTGTTTCCAACCTTTGATCGAGAAATCATGAACCAACTGCAACTCACCATGCGCGCCCATTAAACATCAGCGATGCCCAATTGATTAGTGCGCCGAGTCGACCGAGAAGCGACCAAACATCTGTTCGGGCACACTATAGTTAAACCTGAGAGACACCAATCTGACACAGCCCAGCTTATTGCCACCAATGCATATGCAAATCATTTGCACTTTCCCAGCAGTTTGGTCGCCACAGATGATTGTAATCATAGCAAAAGGATTTCTTGGATTAACATGGAATCGGAGACCAGTTATAGTTAACCAATTTCCAAAGAGTGCGATCTGTGAACAAACACAAACACGAACAAGCCTCAAAAAACATCTGTCTAAATAGACCAATTGTGCTGGCCTTGTAAGTAAGCTGGCTTTATGAGCTTAGGGTTTGGTATAAGCTGCATCATAAAAGCTGCATGATAGTTACGACTCATACCTTCCTGATGGCTCGTCTGGCTAATGGCGTGCCAGGTTTTTCCTAGCCATATTGATATAATTCATGCGTTTTGGTTCATACACCAAACCAGTTTATGTTGTTTAAATATTGTAGCGCTACTATAATCATGCAATTTTCCCACTTCAAATCCAGAGTACACGACTGTGCTAAAGCCCCATTGATTTCATTTGGTGGAAATGCGGTATGCTAAATCATAAATAAGTTTCGTCAACCAGCATTGCATGCTTCAGTTAGTTTTCATGCCATTGACTACAAGGCTAAGACTTGCAAGGCTGACTTACCAAAAGGAATTAGGAGCGTACAAGTTTTGGCCAGACCAAAAAATGCTGCATTTTGTCCTTGCCTGTCAGCATTATGCGCGCAACTTTGAACCTAACTTTCAGGAATGAGCTTCAGTTAAATCAGTAATCAACCGAGAACTAGCAAAACAATTTTTTCGGATGAAACTACAACGGCAACCGCAGACGAAAACGTGTATCCCATATCATGTTTTTGCACCACCTAGATGTGCGTTTTTTTCGATGAACGAACGGCGACAAAAGCCTTTGGTACTAAAATGAAAGACGACAATAAATATCGTCAGGTGACAGAGTATAAAATCGGGCACCAAAGTTGTGGAACCGGAATTTTTCTCCAATGGTTTTAGGGGTACTCCGTTTAAGATTAGGGTACTATATCCATAAGGTATATATATATATATATATATATATATATATATATATATATATATATGTGTGTGTGGGTGTGTGTGTGTGTGGTGTGTTGTGTGTGTGTGTGTGGTGTGGGTGTGTGTGTGTGTGTGTGTGGTGTGTGTGTGTGTGGGTGTGTGTGTGTGTGTGGTGTGTGTGTGTGTTCTGAAATGTTCCTCATCACGCCAACTCCAAGGAGAGAAATGAGGGCAATATCTCAACCGCAGACGAAAACGTGTATCTCATATCATGTTTTGCACCATCTCGATGTGCGATTTTTTCGATGAAACAACGGCGAAAAAAGCCTTTGATACTAAAATGAAAAACCGACAAAAAATATTCAGGTGACAGGGTATAAAATCGGGCACCAAAATTGCGCAACCGGAATTTTGCTCCAATGGTTCTAGAGAAACTCCGTTAAGATTAGGGTACCATATCCAAAAAGTATATATATATATATATATATATATACATATCTATACACATTAATATATATATATATATATACTTTTGGTAGGTACCCTAATCTTAAACGGAGTTTCTCTAGAACCTATATATATATATATATATACATATATATATATATATGCATATATATATATATATATATATATATATATATATATATATATATATATATATGTGTGTGTGTGTGTGTGTGTGTGTGTGTGTGTGTGTGTGTGTGTGTGTCCTGAACTGTAGGGTTTTCGTCATCACGCCAGCCCCAAGGAGAGAAATGAAGGCAATATTCGTAGCCTCATGCGCAGCGAACCCGAGATGTTCTGTTGGCCGACCAGGGTGATGTCAATGCCACTGGGTCAGTGCCGAGAGGGCCACCTATAAAAGCTGCACCGGCCGACACACTGGCATCAGTTCATCTCCAGAGTACCACAAAGCCAACATGTGTTCCAAGGTGAGTGAAATGCACATAAACGACCGCGTTTGCAATTCAGTGTCAGACATCTCGTCTGGCTTGGGATATTGACTTTCACTCACGGAAGTTGCGCGACAAAGTATTCTCGTTTGTGTTATAGCATGCACATACTCCTGTAACATGCAAATCAGATATTTACCATGCTTGTGTGAATATTCTATACACTAAAGCACATTTGTTTCAACTTTCCGTGATCATCTGTTATGCACTATCTTCTAATGTTCCCTGGCATGTCTTACCGCGCCGTCAGGTTCCCGTGGCATTCCTGCTGCTGGGTGCGGCCGTGGTCTTCTCGGCCCCGCCTCCTCCGTACCACGCCACCGAGGCACCGGTCCAGTACGAGTACCAGTACGCCGTCTCGGACGAGTACGCTGGGCTCGACTACGGCCAGACAGAGAGCCGAAACGGCTACAAGACGACCGGATCGTACCACGTGCTGCTACCCGACGGCCGCGTGCAGCGGGTACAGTACAGCGTGGTCGGCGATCAGGGGTACGACGCCGATGTCACCTACGAGGGTGAAGCCAAGGAGTACCAGCCCGCTCCCAATTACGAGAAGCCGGCGCCCTCTTACCACCACGCTCCCGTGTACCACCAAGTGCCTGCGTACGGTGCTCGGCATTATGGCGGCGCCCGGGCTCGCTCGTACAACCTGCAGAAAGGCGACCGAGGCGCCCCTGGCGGAAGCCGAGGAAGCTGCAGCTGACGAGCCGGCCGCCGTTGAGGAGGCGGAGGAGGTAGAGGAGAAGGTGGAGGAGGAGGTCGCTGAGGTCGAGGAGGCCGAACCAGCGGCGGAGGCCGCCGCCGAGGGTGGCGAGGAGGTTTATCAACAGGACGCCGAATAGAGCATCCCGTAGTGAAGTGTTCGTCCGAGACGGTGGCATGTCAACTGTTTTTATTTATTGAGAAATATAAGAAATGAAACATGATATTGACTGTCTAATGCATTAAAACATTTCTTCCACATGACACAATTAAGTAGTTGCGTATGCTCAGACCATTATCCTTATGAACCGATTACGTGAGCAAGGTGACGGATGGCGTCTATTTTTTAACGGAACTTGTACACAATTGTTGAGATGATCTATATTTTAAGCACGAATAGGAGTCTGCCGGGGCGAGAGGTAGATGTAATCTACGGTCAGTAATCATGTAGCCGCGGTACACAATCTACATAACCGCACAACATTGGTGAAGGTACTTGGATAACATGATTTGAAGGAAGAGATTTGATACGTTCCACGTCCAATATGGTAAAGTTACTCTGGAAACACGATTTAAAGCAAGATATTTGATGTGCTCTAAGTTCAATATGTCAGGCTTAAGTGGTCTTAATTCATTTAACATCCCAGGCCTATCACGTTTGGGATGCACGGCTACATTGCTATTTTCCTGACAAGCTTCTTGATTGAGAAACGGAGCTGGCTGGTAGTTACGCTTCATAAATTTTACGGCCGCTTATGCACTCTTCTCGAGGCATCAGACACCAGGTTAATGGCCTTCATATTGCATCAGCGTGGCAAGCATCAAAAGCAAATCACGAAAAAGCTCACAAAACCGGATTCAGATCTCAACAAATCGACGTCGCAATGAAATTGGGCCAAGACGTTCTCACGAGGGAGAGAACATACAGTCGCGATGACAAAACATGATCGTGTAGGCGATCACCTTTGCGCCAGAAGCAGCCATGGACGCACCTGTTTTAAGCCTTTGATGGCAAAATGATAAACCCAACTACGACTCACCTTGCGTTCGCATTAAACATCAACGGTGTCCAATTGATAAGTGCGCTGAATCAACCTAGAAGCGACCAAACATTTGTTCGAGTACACTGCAGTTGAACCTGAGAGACACCAATCTAACACAACCCAGCTTACTGCGACAAATGTATATGCAAACCATCTGCACTTTTCCCAGCAGTTTGGTCGCCGAAGATGATTCCACATCATAACAAAACGATTTATTGGATTACCATGCAATCAAAAGACGGAGTCATTCCTGATCAACTTCCAAAGAATGGGATCTGTGATTAAACACAAAATAAATAAGAACAGGCCTCAAAGTACACCTGCCAAATTAGACCAATTTTCTTGGTATTATAAATAAGTCGGCTTTACTGGCTTAGAGTTTCGCATGAGCTGTATGATACCAGGTAGGAATTCTACCTCCTAGGACAGCCAGCCTGGGTAATGAAGTGCTTTTTTCTTGGCCATATGGGCATGACTCACGCGTTTTGGCTCATACACCAAACTAGCCTCTGTAGTTAAAACATTGTGATACTAATATAAGTCTAGAATTATCCGACAACAAGTCCAGAGTACATGACCATGTTAAAGCCCCATTGATTCCATTTTGTGGAAATGCGGTATGCCAAACCAAACCATAAATACCATGAAATACTGGTACGTTTCGCCAACCAGTATTTCATACTTAAGTTAATTTTCGTGCCATTGGAAGACTGCAAGGCTAAGACTTGCCAGGTTGACCTAGCGAAGCGAATTGGGAGCGTAAATGGTTTGACCAGACCAAAAAATGAGACACTTCATTTTTGCCTATCAGCATTATGCACACATCTTTCCAGAAACCAGCTTTCAGGAATGAGGTCCAGTTACATCGGTAATCAATGGAAAACTGGCAAAACAAATCTTCCAGATTAAATTACGACCGCAACCGCAGACGAAAATGTGCATCTCGTATTATGTTTTTGAAACGCCTCGACGTGCAGTTCCTTCGATGAACCAGCGGTGAAAAAGCATTTGATACCAAGTGAAACACTACACAAATCACTTTTAAAATCCAGGGTTTAAAATCGGGTGCTACATAGCGGGACCATATTTTTCTTCAGTGGTCTTATAGGTAACTTGCTTCAAGGCAGGACCGGAATTGCTCTTCAATAGCTTTAGGAGTAGCCTGCTTAAGATTAGGGTGCTTAATCCTTAAACGTACACGCGCACACACATACATACATACATATATATATATATATATATATATATATATATATATATATATATATATGTACATCTATATATGTGTGTGTATGTATATCCTGAAATGTAGAGTTAACCTCATCACGCCAGACTCAAGGAGAGAAATGAGGGCAATATTCGTAGCCTCATCCGCAGCGAAACGAGATGTTCTGATGGCGGACCAGGGCCGTGTCAATGCCACTGGGTCAGTGCCGAGAGGGCCACCTATAAAAGCTGCGCCGGCCGACACACTGGCATCAGTTCAGCTCCAGAGTACCGCAAAACCAACATGTGTTCCAAGGTGAGTGAAATATCCACAAAAGACTACCACGTTTGCAATTCGGTGTGCGACGTCTCGTCTGGCTCTGGATCTTGACTTTCAGCCACGGAAGCTGCACGATAAAGCATTCCCATTTGGGCTATAGTATGCACATACTTGTGTAAACTTGTAATCAAATATTTGCCACGTTTGTATCACCATTCTATGCACCATGGTTTATTTGCTTCTGGTTACCGTGATGATCTGTTGTCCATTATCTCTTACTATTTCATGGGGCATCTTGCCGCACCCGCAGGTTCCCGTTGCATTCCTGCTGCTGGGCGTGGCCGTGGTCTTCTCGGCCCCGCCTCCTCCGTACCACGCCACCAAGGCACCGGTCCAGTACGAGTACCAGTACGCCGTCTCGGATGAATACGCTGGGCTCGATTACGGCCAGACGGAAAGCCGAAACGGCTACGAGACGACCGGCTCGTACCACGTGCTGCTACCCGACGGCCGCGTGCAGCGGGTACAGTACAGCGTGGTCGGCGATCAGGGGTACGACGCCGATGTCACCTACGAGGGTGAAGCCAAGGAGTACCAGCCCGCTCCCAAGTACGAGAAGCCGGCGCCCTCTTACCACCACGCGCCCGAGTACCACCCCAGGCCGTCGTACCACGCCGCTCCCGTGTACCACCAAGCGCCCGTCTACGGTGCTCGGCATTATGGCGGCGCCCGGGCCCGCACGTACAACCTGCAGAAGGCGACCGAGGCGCCCCTGGCGGAAGCCGAGGAAGCTGCAGCTGAGGAGCCGGCCGCCGTTGAGGAGGCGGAGGAGGTAGCAGAGGAGGTGGAAGAGGAGGCCGCTAAGGCCGAGGAGGCCGAGCCAGAAGCGGAAGCTGCCGCCGAGGGTGGCGAGGAGGCTTATGTACAGGATGCCGAATAGGGCCCGCTGTAGTGGAGTGTTCTGCAGAGACGGCGTTATGTCAACTGTTTTTAGTTAAGTGCGAAATATAATGGGTTGAACATGATGTCGACAGTTTAGTGGTGTTTATTTTTTAAGGATGCGCATACTTTGTTGGGCTTAACTTGGTTTTAAAGGGAAGTTGTCAGATATAAAGGCATTGGAGCAAGCATCAGATGGGATGAAATAAGCTCATGTGTCAATTTTGGTATGTTTTAATTGAAACAACTGCTCTAGACGGCAAAAGCTCAGAAGTTTGCCGACATGTTCATTAACACGTCATGGTTTGATTGTGTCGTGAGATTGCTGCATGCCATCAAAGGGGCTCCCAAGCTAGCCGTTCGAAATTCTTATCGCAGGGTGCGGAATGACTCACTCGAAGTATTTCAACTTCTCTATGCTGCAAAAGTTCGTAGACGTCTTGCTCAGAAAGCAGAGGGTTTAAATCTTAGGAGGGGCATGAGTTTGAACTACGCTGAATGATTTTCAACGCGGTTATCTTAGTTTAAAAGCCTCACACAATGTAAATGTTTCCCGTAGAGCATGGATCGTGGCCTGTCAAGGCAGTAGGCCAACTTTCTCTCCAGGCAGCGTGTGTGTAGCTGCCGTAAAACGAACAATCTGCAGCACCGCACAATATTGGTAAAGGCACATTGGTATTAAGTTTTGAAGAACATTTATGGCTTCTACGTTCAGCATGTATGGAGAAAATGGTACCAGGCTATTTAAGGTCACTTGCCTACGCACGACGTCATGTGAAAAGTTTCTATTTTTACGAAAAACTATTATTTTTTTTTAAAAAGTATTTTTATTTTATTTATCTATATATATATATATATATATATATATATATATATATATAGATAATAATATCTATTTTTAAAAAAATGTTTTGCTGTCCACTAACAACAAATAAGACACTTAACTGACACGTAATAAGACAGAAGGCTGTGTACTGGGTCTACGCAAGTTTGGTTTCTGTGGCTTAATCTCAGAATACCCGCCGCAAAAAAGATAAGTTGACAGCCGCTAGAATGCAAACATCGTCAGCATGGGTGGATGTAAGAGGTGGACCGCGTGGGAAGGAGGAGGGGGGACGGCATCTTCAGGTCTTTGTTTAATCTCGCCTCTTCGTACGTTGCTCAATTTTTGAAAGAGGCCAAGTTAAACACTGCAAAATGGTTAGTTTTTCCTGGTTTTGGAAGCTGAGCCGCCATGTATAGAACGCTTAGGCTCACCGCAAAAGCAGGCTTAGTTGAGCTACTTCACATGTTATCCTCAATTTGAGATCAGACAGCGAAGAGTACGTGCCAGCCGTAGGCATTCTTCAACAGCAAAAATAAACGCATCTTTTACCCGGCGAAAGCCAGTGTTAACACTGCGACAAAACACACCAAAGTGTAACAACCCAGTGTGTGGACAATTCATGGCCGTGTGGAGCTCGAAATGATAAAATGTTAAGTACTTCAACTGAGCCTGCTTCTGCGGTGAACCTAAGCGCTCTCGACATGGCG